CATGGCAACATCTAATGTTTGTGTAGTATTATGTTCAGCAGACTGTGTTCTTCTATTGTTGTGACTTAGATGACGTTCAGAGCACATTTTATGCCCAATTCATGCAAAACTCCACGTAATCCCAAGGGGTTCACATACTTTTTCTTGCAACTGTAGCAAGCATAGGCCAATGATCAAGGGGCTAGGAAAGGACACAGTGATCAGTTCATTGGATACCTATTGTATTAGCAGGCACCACAATGTGTGCTGTTGTTACCATTTGGGCAAGTCCAGCCAAAATTTTGTGAAAATGGGCATCACAGCTTTTTTTGGCTGCCTGCATCCCAACATTCCTATTTTTTGTACCTGAAAGAGGCGTTAACTTTGTAGAATGGCGCACACCCTGTAATGCCTACACACTGTTTAATGTATTGTACTGAAAGTCCGGGCTGTGTGGAGATATTGAAGACCAGTAGGAGTGTCGTTGACAGCGTGGGCTCGCGGGAAATGGTTGAATGACACTGGACTTCATTCAGTTTTATGGGGTGTGGTGACAAAGGATGTGCTGGGGCACAAAGAGGATAAATAATGTTTAAAATTTTTTTTTTTTTTTGCAAAGGAGGGGGAAGAGGCCCTCTATTGGAATAAAAACTGGATTTAGACTGAAGTGAAAATTCCATCAATACTGTACCGTCAGGTTTCATAAAATATTTTTGGTTTTTTTTTAGGTCATGGATCCTACAGAATCCTATAAAGCTCTTGTGAAGAATATCAAATCCTTGAACTTTATTGAAGAAGCTGTACCTTGTGATTTATTACTGTATGGAGACTCAGCTTTTCCAGTGATCGTGAATCCTTTGGGTCAAGTGCTGATTGCTGCATCACGGTATGGAAAGGGACGTCTGGTGGTGATGGGACATGAAAATTATGTCACGAGTCCTAACTTCAACCAGTTCATTGAGAATGCCATTGGGTGGCTTAAGCCCTCCGCTGACTCTCTAGTTGGAATCCATAAAAAATTTTCATCAGTGGTTAAGATTCTCTCTGACAAAGGCCATACGGCTGAACCCACATCTGATTTCTACGATAGATTTGGGGTTTATATTATGCACGCCTATGATGACAGGCAGTCAAAGGAGCTCATTATGGCTTTAAAAGAGGGCAAAGGACTACTAGTTGCAGGCCAAGCTTGGTACTGGATGACCAAAAACAAGCCGAAAAATGTCTTACTTGATTACCCTGGAAACAAAGTGACAAGTGTAGCTGGAATCCACTTCTTGAGTGACTACGGACAAAAAGGTGTATATGAGCCAACTCCACAAATCCCTATATCATCACTAATGGCCAAGTAAGTACCGTGATATTTATAAAATGAAGGATAACGTAAAATATTGTAATTACATAAACAGAACAAATATGGCAATAAATGATAACTAGAAAAAGCATTTAAAGTGAGGTTTCTCGTTAAAATTAGGTTTATCTTGTCTCTCTGCCATGGGGTTTGATGGACCTTCTGTGTTGCCAGAGGAAGCAGCTAAAAGGCGGGGGGCATCACCACCGCACCCTTCTCTGTTCATCTAATTTGTTGGATAGGCACATGCTGAAAGGCTTTTTGTCTATTTAACCTTTCATGATTAAGCCGGCTGTAGCAAGCGTACACCCAGAGATGGACGCGGTTCAACCATTTTGGCTCCAACCTCCATCTTGGCAAAGGGTCAACCATCTTGTACAAACATATTCCCCCTCATTCTCCCTCTCCCTCTCTGAGAGTCACAGTGACATCTGGTTGTGTGTGTGTGTGTGTTGGAAGTGTCACAGGCCGGTCAGGCCACAGCAGGAAGCTCCGAGCTATAAAACATTTTTGAGCTGGGTGCCGGCGGGCTGGGAAGCTGAGTAATCTGGCACCTTGTAAAAAGATAACCCAAGCCTTCCCCTGAGTTCAAAGACATTCCAGAGAAGAAGACACTAGAAAACACTTTTAAAATCCATTTTTCCCCTATGTCTCATATCTTGGAATATGAGAGACTTACATAAAAACCAGGTATATCGTCAGATTGGCCAAAAGAAGACAAACAGTTTGATAGGTCAGCTGGATATAGATTGTCTAGCGAGCACTACCTAGAGAATAAGATATCTAACTTATGTTCAAAAGCCGCTAGAACACCAAAAAGGTAACCAACACACCTTCCAGGAAACTATATAAATAATAAAGGTGCAGTTTGATAGGTCACACTCCCTGACTGGAATACCTAGGAAAGCAGAAAATTACATCTCTGGAACCCTTCAAGTATGTTTTTCATATTTCATATCTAACCGTTCCTCAGATGCGTCTGCATAGTAATCTACCCGCGGGTGGAATGTCCCTTGCGCATAGGAAAACTTATGAGCCAAAATATGAACTAGCAGAGATTTTGGCTCTAGTTTAGGTCTCCGCCCAGACCATCCCTCCCTAAATGAGGCATTGGTCCTTGGCTTTAGAGGCACCCCCTGCTGGGGGACTACAAAATGGGCTGTCATACCTAAGAGAGTTAAGTTGAAGAATTCGCCCTTTTAACATCAGAACCAACTTGGGAGACGTGCCCTTTTGCTCTAAAACTTGATCTGCTTAACCCAGGACTTTGGCAAGTACTTTAACCCTCTAACTTCTCTCTGTTATCTCTTTGCTGTGCTATTGTTTTCTGTGTATTTATATATATATTGGTTACATCTTTTTTCTGTAAATATTTTTATTGCACCCTTTTGACCTTTTAGTAATAAATCTTTCCTTCTGAAAGTGTTGAACTGTTTCTATAGCTCTTTATTGCAACTTACGAATTCCTGCCTCTAAAAGAGCGCTACTGTGTTTGTTTAACCCTCTGTATAACCTGTCTGTGGTGACCGTGCTATACAGATGATTATCTCAACCATTATAGTGTTATTGCTGAGATTGCCGAGTTTCCTCTTTCTCTGTACAAAAAGGAGGTGGTGGCAGTGTGAAGGGTTAATTGGTAATAAACCTGACCCAGTAACAATCGCATTCAGGCTGCCAGTACATCGATTGGTGGTCCATTAACTGGAAAATTGTTGTGCAGGGTACAGCTGGGTGTGGCATTGTTACGCACGTGACATCGCAGTTTCAGATTGGCTAGTCTTTCGGTCACGAGTTTGGTGAGAAGGTCAGGAATCTGATGCCACGATCGTCACACCGGCAATAAATGGATTGAAGTTTGGTTAGTTCAGCAGGGACTGGCTGGATTTCAGTCCATGTATAGGCAGGGTGATTGTACAGAAGTCGATTGATTTCCCACTCGTCAGATTTTTTTCCACTTGATCAGTACTGGCAGACTATATCCTAAAATGTATTCCTACTGTAATATGTTTTTCAGACCACAAACCAAGGGGAACAATAAGCTTTTCAGCTCAGGTGCAAACTATTGATACAAGTGAATAATTTACAAAGAAATCTCTTAGGGGTACAGAAAATGGTCAACTCATTTGGACAGGGTTTAGGTAAATGCCCTTATGCCAACACCATGTCATCCATGTATGTAGTGTAGCTTCAGTGCTCCCATCATGCAACAGTGTCAGGATGAGGGATTGCTAGGCAGTAGCATGTCTTATTTTTTTGGCAGCAGAGTTGGTTTTGTGTGAAGATAGGTCCGTACTGTGAAGTACAGTAAATCTGGTTATGCAGATTCCCAACATAAAGTGGCCTCAAAGGCACTTTGAGGGGAAAAGGGAAGGTATGGGGAAAACAAAAGCATGCTACCAAAGTTTTAGAAGTCCAAGAGTGTTTATTTCATCATAAGTGCAAAGGTTTCCATTTATGCTGAAATAGATATATCGTTGGTGTCAGCACCTGTGGTAGTGAGCCCTTGTAGATACTCAACTTGGGGTTCCCCAGGGCGCAGAGTCTAAGACCCAGCCTGCTTCTTCACCAGAGCCCCTGATGGTGGGGATGGACTTGCAGCAAGCTGGGACCAGGTCGCAGCCCCTGGGTACGCCCAGCTGAGAATGAGGAGACCACTCACAGGATCAGAGTACAGTGGGAGGAGACAAACGGAAATCCGATAGACTGGACGAGGTCAGGACAGATGGAAAACAAGCACAGTCAGAGAACGAAGCCAGGGTCGGTACATGAGTAGTCAATGCAGGATACAGGCGATAGCAACACACAGGAGCTCTGGCAACTAGAAAATTGCCCAGGCAAAGTGGCCTGGGCTGAGAATGTCTTATATAGGCAGGCAAACAAGGAGGTGGGCCAGGAAGTGATGGAAGGGAAGGAAATAAAACACAGAGAACAGCAGACGACACCCATAGGTGAGCACAGACACATGTGAAAGGAATCAGGAACAGCACTGCAGCAAGGAGGTAAGAACACAAACAAGAAACTGCAGGCTAACTTGTGACAGTTGGACTGTTTTTTTATACCCCTTTTAAAGCCTCAGTCCCAAAAGTCCTCAATCACCCCCTCTTGAAACCTCTCAAATGTGTTTTGTTATATTACCTTTATTCAGATGACTTACGTGACTCACACGTCACACTGGTGCCACTTCCTTTTAGTGTCTTTTATGGTGCTAGGAAGTTTTAAATGATACAGAAGGTGCTGCCAATGTGGTGAGGTAAATGCCACTCTCTGCTTTATTGTACTGTGCCACGGTGGCACTTTATTGACCCTTGCTATGGCTAGCGGGCATCAAAACTACCCCTACCAGCAAAAATTTGTAGCTGTGCACAATGTGGACACCTTATGCTAAAACAGTATATTTAAATATAGATGAGCCTTTCTAGGTCAATAAAAGGTAAGATGGACAGTTGGTAGAAGAGAGCCAACCAAAGAAATAAGTAAACTAAGCCTATTATATAACCATTAATATCATTTTTTGTTTTACTTTTAGGCATGAGTGGGACCTTTCCAAGGATCTAAATCAGTTGTTGAATGGGCTCACTGAAGTACGTTTGCCAGAAAGTGGATCCCCATCCCATGTGATTGTTCACGGTCAGAGGGCCTTCCCTCTCATTCAAGATGATTCTCAAAAACATACCTGGCAGCCGCTTACTATGGAAAAGGCAAGGTTGTTGTAGCAACCCATGAGCATCAGATAAACCAACCCAGTCAAAAACAGCTGGTCCTCAACCTCATTTCCTGGCTGGATGCTGGAAGAAGTGGAAAAATTGGAATACAATGGAGCTTGAGAGAAATGAAGGGGTTCCTTGAGGGAGGTTTTGAAATTCAGCAGTCTGAGTTTAACAAGTCATTCAGTGTTTATTGCTGCACATCCTACACCGATAAAGATGCCGAGGACATGCTGGAGTTTGTTGCAGAAGGAGGAGGACTTCTTATTGCCGGGCAAGCTTGGTACTGGGCTTCTGTAAATCCTGGAAAAGATGTTCTTATAGATTACCCTGGAAACAAAATTATTAACCAGTTTGGGATCAGTATTTTGGGTGCTGTAGCTTATCCAGGTCGTCTTATTATTTTAAATACTGAAGCTCAGTCAAAGGGCTATCAAAGCCGCAAGGCTCTTCACAAGTTAAAGATGTTGATGGACACCAGCCGGGAGGTTGAGGAACCTTTGGCATCTTGGATGAGGAAACTGTCGGAAGACTGTGCAACACTATTGGCAGTGAGAGATCAAGACCAACAGGCTTTTTATCAATATAAAGGAGCCCTTATCAATACACTACTAAAATATGGACTGCCACAAGTAGGTCTAGATCTGCCTGTTAAAGGTGGGGGCAAAGAAGCCTTTTTATTGCGTATTGCTGCTGGGCTTCACAATACATTGCCAAACTTTGAAAATATAGTAACAAAACTTATTTCAGGGACAAGTCTTCCTGGGGGCCCTACCCAGAGTCTTCAGATCAACTGCACAAGTAAAGGTAAAGTATATTACTTGAGTTTAAAGTTTTATTTGTCATTAAAAGGAATATTTTACATCTCCAAGGGTTCGTTCACTTCATTGGGTTGTGTTGCTTAACACAGGCCCATTGCAATAACAGGCCATTGATTTTAACAGGTACAGTCCATATCAGGGGCGGACTGACCATTTAGGCACTCGGGCACTGGTCAGTAAGGGGCCCCATGAGATGCCCTTGGTACCTTTCATAGGCTTTTTTGGGTGTGGTTTGAGAGTGGGCAAGGACACAGGGGCCCCATGATTTCCTATTGCCCAGGGGCCCCATGAGTTGTCAGTTCGCCCCTGGGCCATCCCAACATATTGGATGAGTGTGCATTGAGTGAAAATGGAACATGCTCTATTTAAACAAAGTGCAAGTGCAGCAACATGTTCTGAAGCCTCCCACTCAAGTCTATGGTGATGCTCCTCAAATTCCTGGCAGGCGTTTGCGGGGCATTTGCGAGGCGTGTTAAGGCTACGTTCACACTAGCTCTGTCAGCAGGCGTCAGACAGGCGTTTGGGAAGCCTTTTTAAAGATACTCAAATGCCTATGAAAATGCTGTACATGGTAGCACACAGTGCTGTTCACACTGAAGAGTTAGAGTCGCAGCGCGGCAAAACTGACGCCTCATGTCGAGTCAGGAGGAGTTGAAGCCTCCCACTCAAGTCTATGGTGACGCTCCTCAAATGCCTGGCAGGCCTCTGTGGGGCGTTTAAGGGGCATTTTAAGGCTATGTTCACACTATCTTTGTCAGCAGGCGTCAGACAGGCATTTGGGAAGCCTTTTTAAAGATTACTCTAAGGCAGCGGTTCTCAACCTGGGGGTCGCGACCCCTTTGGGGGTCGAACGACCATTTCCCAGGGGTCGCCTAAGACCATCGGAAAACACATATTTCCGATGGTCTTAGGAACCGAGACACCGCTCCTCCGTCTCAGGCGATGTGTGGGCGGGGATGATACGCTGCTCCTGTCACCTGGCCACACCTCCGGGATCGCTCAGCAGCTCCGCCTCCTCGCCGCTGATTGGCCCACCGGAACTGTAGCTCAGGAGAGCTGTGTAGGCGGCCAATCACCGGCGAGGAGGTGGAGCTTGGAGAGGAGGAGCCGAGCGGCAGCGCGCGTACATCAAAGAAGATCGAGGGAACTGCCGGAGCGAGTGAAGAGGAGAGCGACAAGAGAAGGAAGACAGCTGACAGGTAAGTGAGAGAGCGAGCCCAGGCTGGAGCAGGGTCAGCAAAGTAAGTATCATTGCTGTCAGTGGGAGGAATAGTGCCCCATCATTTGTGTCACTAATACCAACGATGGGGGCACTATTCCTCCCCCCACTGACACCAACGATGGGGCACTATTCCTCCCCCCACTGACACCAACGATGGGGCACTATTCCTCCCCCCACTGACACCAACGATGGGGCACTATTCCTCCCCCAACTGACACCAACGATGGGGCACTATTCCTCCCCCCACTGACACCAACGATGGGGCACTATTCCTCCCCCCACTGACACCAACGATGGGGCACTATTCCTCCCCCCACTGACACCAACGATGGGGCACTATTCCTCCCCCCACTGACACCCAACGATGGGGCACTATTCCTCCCCCACTGACACCAACGATGGGGCACTATTCCTCCCCCCACTGACACCAACGATGGGGCACTATTTTCCCCCCACCCCCCCCCCCCCCCCCTGACCCCAATGATGGGGCACTATTCTCCCCTCCACCACACTGACATCAATGATGGGGCACTATTCCTCCCACTGACACCAATGATGGGGCACTATTCCTCCCCCCACTGACACCAACGATGGGACACTATTTCCCCCCCCCTGACCCCAATGATGCGGCACTATTCCTCCCACTGACACCAATGATGGGGCACTATTCCTCCCACTGACACCAATGATGTGGCACTATTCCTCCCACTGACACCAGTGATGGGGCACTACTCCCACTGACCACCAGTGATGGGGCACTACTCCCCCCACTGACACCAGTGATGGGCACTATTCCTCCCACTGACACCAATGATGGGGCACTACTCCCCCCACTGACACCAATGATGGGGCACTACTCCCCCCACTGACACCAATGATGGGGCACTATTCCTCCCACTGACACCAATGATGTGGCACTATTCCTCCCACTGACACCAGTGATGGAGCACTACTCCTCCCACTGACACCAGTGATGGGGCACTACTCCCCCCACTGACACCAGTGATGGAGCACCACTCCTCCCACTGACACCAATGATGGGGCACCATTCCTCCCACTGACTCCAACGATGGGGCACTATTCCTCCCACTGACACCAACGATGGGGCACTATTCCTCCCACTGACACCAACGATGGGGCACTATTCCTCCCACTGACACCAACGATGGGGCACTATTCCTCCCACTGACACCAACGATGGGGCACTATTCCTCACACTGACACCAACGATGGGGCACTATTCCTCCCACTGACACCAATGATGGGGCACTATTCCTCCCACTGATACCAACGATGGGGCACTATTCCTCCCACTGATACCAACGATGGGGCACTATTCCTCCCACTGACACCAACGATGGGCACTATTCCTCCCACTGACACCAGTGATGGGGCACTATTCCTCCCACTGACACCAGTGATGGGGCACTATTCCTCCCACTGACACCAGTGATGGGGCACTATTCATCCCACTGACATCAGTGATGGGGCACTATTCCTCCCACTGACATCAGTGATGGGGCACTATTCCTCCCACTGACACCAGTGATGGGGCACTATTCATCCCACTGACACCAGTGATGGGGCACTATTCCTCCCACTGACACCAATGATGGGGCACTATTCCTCCCACTGACACCAATGATGGGGACACTATTCATCCCACTGACATCAGTGATGGGGCACTACTCCTTCCACTGACACCAATGACATGGCACTACTCCTCCCACTGCAAAATTACAGGTATGAAGTAGCAACGAAAATAATTTTATGGTTGGGGATCACCACAACATGAGGAACTGTATTAAGGGGTCGCGGCATTAGAAAGGTTGAGACCCACTGCTCTAAGGCCTATGAAAATGCTGTACATGGCAGCAGACAGTGTTTGTTCACACTGAAGAGTTAGAGTCGCAGCGCGGCAAAACTGATGCGTCATGTCGAGTCAGGAAGAGTTTGAAGCCTCCCACTCATGTCTATGGTGATGCTCCTCAAATGCCTGGCAGGCCTTTGTAGGGCGTTTGCAAGGCATGTTAAGGCTACGTTCACACTAGCTTTGTCAGCAGGCGTCAGACAGGCGTTTGGGAAGCTTTTTTAAAGCCTTTTTAAAGCTAAAAAACGCTTCCCAAACGCCTGTCAAATGCTGTAGGGGTGTTGGCAAGAGTTATAAATAAGTCAAGTGTGAACGAGCTTTAAGGACAAAAAAAAATAGTGTATTTGCCCCTGCTGTGAACAGAAAAACCTGCTCATCAAGGCAACAGATTAAAAAAAATCCTTCAAAAAAATAGGTTGTGCTTAAATACATGCAAAAGTATACCAAGAAAATAAATAACAAAACAATAAGAAACAATATTTTAAATCAAAATAAAATCCAGCAAAAATGAAAAAGTCCAAAAGTTCAAATAATCAATAATGTCCAAAATAATTCATCACCAAGTAAATTGGGCGGTGCCTTTGGATGTGAGGTTCAGAATACTCCTGGTTTGTCTGCACGTTGCATGTGCATGTTTGGCTGGGTCTGAGTGGCCGTTTACACTGGTGTCAGTCTGGACACTTTGCTTGTAAGTGCATTTCTTTATTAAAGTTTGATGCTTTTTAAAACATACTGCACCATGATCGTTCACTTTTTTTTGAGTGACGGTCTGATCCAGGGGCGGACTGACAACTCATGGGGCCCCGGGCAATAGGAGATCATGGGGCCCCTGTGTCCTTGCTAAAACTCAAAAAAGCCTATGAAGAAGGTACCAGGGGCATCTCATGGGGCCCCCTACTGACCCCGGGCCCTCGGGCAGTGCCTGAGTTTCCAAATGGTCAGTCGCCCCTGGTCTGAACATCTCTAAGTTTTGAGTGGATTTTCAACTTTGCAGCACATCATCTGTTGGAGTTCATCCCTCATTTCTTCAGTGTTGTTGTCACCATATTATTCATTTCTCCCAGAATAACAAGTACTATATGCTGGTTTTTTAACAATCAGCATATTACTCTGGTGAGTTCTATTTAACCATTTTTGGTGGTGGATTTACTTGGTGATGAATTATTTTGGACATTATTGATTATTTGAACTTTTGGACTTTTTGATTTTTGCTGGATTTTATTTTGATTTAAAATATTGTTTCTTATTGTTTTGTTATTTATTTTTCTTGTTATACTTTTGCATGTATTTAAGCGCAACCTATTTTTTGAAGTTTTGTATATCCTTTAAGTTTATAGGCTAGGTTTTGCAGCTTATTGTTTTATATAATTTCCGTGGTGCTGGTTCTTTATTTATATAGATTTAAAAAAATGCACATCAACACAATGCAATGAGTTAAAAGAAAAAAATGTCATAATAGGCCAGCTCAAGTGCATTAAGCATACATAAGGCTCCATGTACACTGCAGCTGATAAACTCACGTTTAGGAGCTTTTCTGTGTTTTTTTTCAGCAGCCCCTGAACTCCCCCTAATGTTCCCCTATGTGTCCATGTACACATCCTCGTTTACAGTCATTTACAGGCAGTTGAGTTTACAGTCGTTTTTTTGAATGCACCAAACTTGCGTTCAGCAATAGATTTTATCAGCGTTTCAAACGCAGAACGCTTGTAAACGGTTGGTAGAGCACTCGCTTATCATGTGAGACATAGTGGCATCGATGCCAGCACTCTTCATTTGCTTTTAAAGCTGTAATAATGTAAAATAAAATTGTACAAATCAAATTCCAATTGCAGGAAAAAAGTAAACTAGAAAAAAAGAACAATTTTTGTTAAAGGCTAATCCAACTAGGATTTAT